TTTAAGGTTTCGTGGTTTCTGGTTTGGGGTTCCGATTCTTACTTCCATTTCTCCTGGCAGCTTCGGCCGTCGCCATGGCGCTCCTGCCTGAGGCCACGCCGCAGTTTTGGGTTTGTGGGGGTTTAGGGTTTAGGGTTTAGGGTTTAGGGTTTAGGGTTTAGGGGTTTAGGGTTGAGGGTTGAGGGTTGAGGGTTGAGGGTTGAGGGTTGGGTGGCTTTTGGAGAATGGACCTTAGGTTTTCGGATCGTTTCTCCCATGCACTCTTAGTTTTTGTAGCAGTTTTTTTTGCTAACCCTAAACCCTAAGCCCTCTAAGCCCTTAGAAGGGTGCCCTTCCACCTTGAAGCTGCGCCCCAATTAAATCATAAACGATTGGCTCTAAACGCAACTTTAAAACCAGGATTTCGGATTGAGGGTTTAGGATTTAGAGTTTAGAGTGAGATTAGGGTGGAGGGTTAAGGGTTTTGGCATGAACAGCCCAGCGCTGTTGACGGCGAGGCGTTTGCCTTTGGGGTGACGCAGCCCACGCTGCCGGCCGTCAGGTACGCGTGGCCGCAAGCCCCTTAAACCCTTAAGCCCAGCAAGTTCCGCTAAACCCCCAACCCCTAAACGCTAGACCCAAAACCCTAAACCCTGAGTTTGGCATTTATATATACGGGCCTAGTTTCGAAACCCTAAACCTACAAGCCCTGAACCCTAAACCCTTAACCCTGAAGTTTAGGGGTTTAGGGTTTTAGGTTTCGGGTTTACAATAGGCTTTATAGCCTTGCGCGTTGAGGGTTTAGGGTCGTGTATGAAATAAATTACCTCCGATATGGAGGCCAGCCCGGACGTGTAGATTGTAGACCGGGGATAGGCTGGGGTTTTGTCTAGTTATAACCTTACTTGGCGTACCTGTAACCCCAGTAGGTTGTGTCGAGAATTACAGCACTATTACCCCCAAGCACTCGACACTGGACTCGAGATCGTTAACCCAAAGCCAACCTTCAACTCGAAACCCTGAACTGGAAACCCTAGACCCTGAACCCTAATTCGGCAGATCCAAACACTATACCCCAAACTCGAAACCCGAAACCCTCGACCCCAAAAGCCTAAACTCTAAACCCTAAACCCTGGACCCTAAACTCGACGCCCTAAACTCGAAACCCTAAACCCTAGACCCTAAACCCTGAACCCTAAACCCTAAACCCTAAACCCTGAACCCTAAGCTCGATACCCAACCGAAACTTTCATTTAGCTGGAACCCTCAACCCTAAACCCTAAGCTCTGAACCCAAGTCCCTAAACCCAAGCTTCTAGAAGGCTCACGGATGCTTCTAGATAGGGCAAGAAGTACCTGAAGTACGGTTATAGCCATAGTTGCCCTACATATAGCCCCACCTATCGTTTTTCATGAACCTCCAAGTGCCCTAAACCCCAAACCCCAAACCCCAATTCCCAAACCTTAAAAACTGATCCCTAAACCCCAACCCTAAACCCTAAACCCTAAACCCTAAACCCTAAACCCTAAACCCTAAACCCTAAACCCCCTAAACCCTAAACCCTAAACCCTAAACCCTAAACCCTAAACCCTAAACCCTAAACCCTAAACCCCAAACCCCTAAACCCACGTAGAAGGCTCGGGGCTTACGGAGGCTTGTGTCGAAGCCGCGGCCGGCTGCGCAGGAAGCCAGCGAGCCAGGCGCGGTCGCAGAATCCCTTGGCCCAGTATCAGGGTTTCGGGTTTAGGGTTTAGGGTTTAGGGTTTAAGGTTTAGGGTTTAGGGTTTAGGGTTTAGGGTTTAGGGGTTGGGGTTTAGTGCTTAGGGTTCAGGTTTTAGCGCTTCCCTAGTCTTTGGGGTTTAGGGGGGGGATTTGGGTGTTGGGGCGTTAGGGTGTTAGGGTGTAAGGGTGTTGTCAGGGGGTCTGTTTTAGGGCTTTAGGGTTTCAGGGTTGTAGGGTTTAGGATAAGCCCTACCCCTAAACCTTAAACAGTGAGGTGTTAGGCTATCAGGGTGCCCTAAAGGCGAAAATCTGAAGGCCCAAGAAGCTCTGAACACGAAACCTCAAAACCTCAAACCCTCAAACTCCAAACCCTGAACCAGCGGGATCCGATTTTGGTTTAGGGTTAGGTTTTGGTTTAGGGGTTTGTGGTTTTTGTTGCCGGGGCTTAAGGGTTTGGGTTTGTGGTAAACCCTAAACCCTGAACCCTAAACCCTAAACCTAGACCCTAAACCCTCGGTTTTGGGTTCAGGGCCAACTTGGAGATTCTGGGTTGTCATGACTGGAGTGCTAAGTGGGGTTTACAAGGTAGTTGAACCTAGAATTGTAAGAAGGGTCGCCTGGGATGTTTCCCCCTCATGCTATCAGTCCCTTAGCGGGGTACGAGTAGCCCCCTTTTGTAATCCCTGTGAAGGACTGTTAGTATAAGGGGAACGTCCCAAAGGTCGTTTTAGTTGCAATTGGCGAACCCGAAGCCCTAAGCCCTAAGTCCTAAATCCTAAACCCCAAACCCCAAACCCTA